CGATGGGGCGGGCGGGGCGAGTCCGGAAGGCGATGGGTTTTCGCGTGCAGTCTGAGCTAGAGAGGCGTGGCCTGATGTGGTGGGGCGGAGTCAGCAGGTTAAGGGGCGGAGCCTGAGTCGGAGGGGCGGGTCAGGCGAAGAGGTGAGGTGAATGGGGGGTGGGTCCAGCGGTCGGTGTCCGCTGATTGGCTGATTTTGAAAAAGGGGTGGTTTTGGCGGGGTGTGCGGGCGGCGGTTGGAGCTGGAGGTTGAGGTAAGGTATGGCGATCGGAGGCTCGGGGGAACCGAGACTTACAATAGCTAGCCTCGGTAACTGAAGCAATGTGGGACCGGAGACAGTCCCCGGGTTTAGAGGAGGGGGCTGGTCGAATGAGTCTGGATCCTCCAACCCACTCACTCTCTACTAACCCCGGCCCTTCAGAGGGTCTAGGCCCGAAACGTCAGCCTTCCTGCTCCTCTAATGCTGCTTGACCTTCTGTGTTCATCCAGCTCTACACCTTGTTATCTCTGGGCTCCCAGTGGTGTATGTTTTTTTAAAAAGTGATCTTTCCCAGGGTGGCTATGTCCTGTTCTGGGCGGAATATGATATTGTCTCTGGTGAAGTGAATGTCCAGATCTTTGCCCAATGTATGGAATATATACAATTGCCTACTCTAATAGGAGGCATTTAATTTTAAAAACGGCTGATTTTAAATGGTGAGAGTGTGCAGAGCTTTGTGGTGCAGACGGATCTAGGTGTCTTAGTGCATGAATCCCAACAAGTCAATGGAGAGGTAAAGCAAGTAATTAGGACAGCTAATAGCTTGTTATCACATCTGTAAGGGGAATTGGATGCAAAGATGTAGGTAGGTTATGCTTCAGTTATGTCTAGCACTGGTGAGACTGCATCTGACTTTCTGTGTACATGATTTGTCACCTTATTAAGGGAAAGATGTAAATGAGTTGGAGGCCATTCAAAGAATGTTTACTAGTTGGTACTTGGAATGGGTAGGTTTTGTGGGAGAGGGTTAGACTGGCTAATCCTATACCTGCTGGAGGTTAGAAGAGTGAGAGGTTGCCTTGACAGAAACATGCAAGATCTTGAGTGATCTTGACAAGGTTTTGAAAATTGTGGGTGTTGCCTGTTTAAGACGCATTCTCAGAGGGTTATTAGGTTTTGGAATTCTTTTCCTCAAAATGTGGTCTTTGAAAATTTTAAGGCAGAAGCAGAAAGCTTTTTGACAAATGAGAGGATGAAAAGTTATCTGGGTAGGCAGAAATGTGGCATACTCAGATCAAGGCTACGGACTCTGCTCCCTATTCTACTCCTCATGCACTCAGGACTGGCCAAATTCAGCCCCAAATCCACATATAAACTTGTTGATGACACTACCATTGTAGTTTGAATCTCCAATAACAATGAGACAGAGTACAGGAAAGAGAATGAGTGCTTACCGGTGTGGTGTAAAGACAACAATCGATCAACAATCAATTCAGCAAAACAAAGGAGCTAGTCATTAACTTCAGAAAGCAGAACGGAGGGCATACCATTGTTTGCATCAATGGTGCTGAGGTGGAGATGGTCAAGAGTGTCAAGTTCCTGGGAGTGATGATCACCGACAATCTGTCCTGGTCCACTCACGTTGATGCGGTAGCCACGAAAGCTCAACAATTAATCTACTTCTTCAGGAGGCGAGGGAAATTCAGGATGTCCACAAAGACTCTTGCCAATTTTTATAGATGCACCATAGAAAGCATCCTATCTGGATGTGTCACAGCATGGTATGGCAACTGCTCTTTCCCAGACTGCAAGATGCTACAGAGAGTCATGAACCCAGCACAGTCTATCAAGCAAACCAGTCTTCCACCCATTCTTCCACTCCATCTATAATTCCTGCAGCATCAGGAAAGCAATTAACATTATCAAAGACCTCTCCCACCCGGGTTATACTTTCTTCTGTCGGGCAGAAGATATAAAAGTTGAATATACAAACAGATTCAAGAACAGTTTCTTCCTTGCTGTTATCAGGCTTTTGAATGGATCTCTCAAATGTTAAATATGATCTCTCTCTCTCTCTGCACCTTCTCTGTGGCTGTACCCATTGTGTTCTGCACTCTGTTCTGCTAACCTGATGCACTTTGTATGGTACAATCTGCCTGTACAGCAAACAAAACACTTTTCACTCTATCTTGGTACATGTGACAACAATAAATTAATCAGTCATGATGTTATTGAATGACAGAGCAGACTCAAGAGCGTGAAAGGCTTACTACTGGTAGTTGTGTATTCAAATGTACATTTGGTTTCTGAGTGCACCCATAATGGAGCTGATGTTGGAAAATTGAAATTTTTTTAAAAATGCAGCAAGTGTTGGAAATGCTCAGCATGTCTGACTGTCAATTCAGCAATGTTAGGTGTGCTATGCTCCCATTTTTGTTTTCTTTTTATTGCATGTTTCAGTTGTTCTCCACCTTTTGCTTTCTGTCAGCAGCATGCTTGCTTTGGGCAAGCCTATTTTGTTTTTTTTGCTCTATCAGCATTCCTTTAAAAGTCTGACTGTCCTGTCTTCCATAACTTAGATCTTGCTCTTCTCTTCATCCTACTCACCCTTGCTCAAAATCTATTGCATCTCTAGCAATTTGTTGAAAGGGTGCAAATCTAAAATGTTTATTTTACTATTGCTGCGATAACCTGCTGAGTGTTTCCAGCATTTTCTGTTCATTGTTAAGGGGAACAGACTGGATGACTTTGTAATATCAAGATTTAGAAGAAATATCGTGTCTTCTGACGACCTGTGCAGTCTTCTGGATTCAAAATTGAGTTCAAAAATGTCAGATTATGAATCTGTTCCCTATCTTTTATTTTATTGCAATGTGACAGTGTAAGACTGTAAGAATTAGGTGTGGGAGTAGACCATTCAGCTCCTCAATTTTGTTCTCCCTTTTGATCAAATCGGACTGTGGCTTTAACTCTTTCTTGATAACCCTTAACTTGATCCAAATCTTGTTTTGTTTTCAGACAGCATAGTTCACACTCGCTAAGAACAACATTGTTTCTTTGCTCAACCATTTCCAGTGTCTTTGCCTATTATGCAACATTGTTATTTCATCTGTATATCCTTTTGTTCTCCATCTCTGTACCCTACATTTTAACATCATAAAACCTATCACATCTCAATCTTTGTTTCCGAAGAAGATCCATATTCAACTGAGAATGTTAACTCTTTCCAAGCCTGCAGATGTTAATGAACATGCTAAATATTTCCACTTTGTTTATTGATTCTGTTTTCTGTTCTGTATCAGGTGTCAGTCATTGTGCCATTCAAGCTAGATTAATTCTTTATGTATAAGAGAACTGCGTTCAAGGATACAATAGATGAGGAGTTTCGTTATATATACTTGAGAAGATGTAATTATAGCAAAGATATCTTGGCTGTGAATTTGAGTATAGTTTAAGGTTAGATTTCCTGCTCTGATGGGATCCCAACCTGTATTTGTTTTGACTGGATTTTGCACCTGCTCCGCTACTGCACAACTGAAGGCCTAATTCTTATTTTCAAGGTGACAAGCACTATCTACTTGGAACCCTCATTCTACCATTCTTGTCCTGTGATAAAGTGATAATAGATTTGTTGATTAATCGTGGCAATTGATCTCTCTCAGTTAATCTACAACAAACCCAAGCATAATATGAGAAAATTGCATAGTGGAATGCATTGGCCCTGATGTTTCGTGCCAGTGTCTCAAATTACTCATTAAACCTGGCATCAGTGGTGGGCACATTGTTGAAGGGAATTCCAAGGGACAGGAGTTGCATGTATTTGGAAAGTTAAGGACTGATTAGGGATAGTCAATGTGGCTTTGTGCGTGGGAAATCATGTCTCACTAACTTAATTGAGATTTTTCAAGAAGTAACAAAAAGGCTTGATGAAGGCAGAGCAGTGGACATGATCTACATGGACTTCAGAAAGGTGTTTGACAAGGTCCTGCATGGTAGACTGATTAGCAAGATTGATCACATGGAACACAGGGGGAACTAGCCATTTGGATATAGAAGTGGCTCAAAGGTAGAACACAGAAGGTGATGGTGGAAGGTTGCTTTTCAGACTGGAGGCCTGTGACCAGCAGTGTGTCACAAGGATTGGTGCTAGGTCCACTGCTTTTTGTCATTTTTATATAAATGAAAGGATGTGAATACAGGAGGTATGGTTAGTAAGTTTGCAGTTTGACACCGAAATTGGTAGAGTAGTGGACAGTCAAGAGGGTAAATGTAGAGTACAACAGGACCTTGATCAGATGGGCAGGTGGGCTGTGGAGTGGTAGATAGAGTTTAATTTAGATAAATGTGACGTGCTGCATTTTGGAAAGGCAAATCAGGGCAGGATTTATACACTTAATGGTAAGCTCCTGGGGAGTATTGCTGAACAAAGGGACCTTGGAATGCAGGTTCATAGTTCCTTGAAAGTAAAGTCACAATTAGAAGGGATAGTGAAGAAGGCATTTGGCATGCTTTCCTTTATTGGTCAGTGCATTGAGAATAGGAGTTGGCATGTCATGTTGCAGCTGTACAGGACATTGGTTAGGCTACTTTTGGAAAATTGCGTTCAGTTCTGGTCTCCCTACTGTAGGAAGGATGTTGTGAAACTTGAAAGGGTTCAGGAAAGATTTACAAGGAAGTTGCCAGGGTTGGAGGATTTGAGCTATGAGGGGAGGCTGAATAGGCCTGGGCTATTTTCCCTGGAGCGTCAGAGGCTGAGGGATGATGTTATAGAAGTTTATAACATCATGAAGGCCGTGGATACGGTGAATAGTCAAAGTCTTTTTCCCAGGGTAGGGGAGTCTGAAACTAGAGGGCATAGTTTTAAGATGAGGGGGAAAGGTTTAAAGGGACCTAAGGGACAACTTTTTCATGTAGAGGGTGGTGCGTGTATGGAATGAGCTGCCCGAGGCAGTGGTGGAGGCTGGTATGATTACAACATTTAAGCATCTGATGATGGAGAAGCCCTCCAAATGTTTGTGATTTCAAATAAACCTGTTGGACTATAACCTGGCATCATATGATTTGTGACCTTGTCCACCCCAGCCCAACACCAGCACCCCCACATCGTACATTTTAATTGTTTTAGATCTATCTGAATCCACTATCATATTGAAACTCCAGCTCCACAGACTTTGTTCCTAATGAGTGAGCAAATTGTGAATGGTATACAATAAAAAAACTCGCTGTCACCCATGTCCCTCTTGCTGTTTTGTGATTTAAATCTTTGAGTTTAATTTTCACTAGACAATAGAATAGCATTTAGCGCACCCAATTTGGTATTATAAACTTATGTCAGTGAAAGTGGAAATTTGGGAAAAAAAGAAATACTTGCATTTTTATGTCAGACCATAAGAGCACCTGGAGTTCAGTGTCTTACAATTTGTATGTTAGTTTCGAATGGTGGTTATTGTAATTTGGGAAAGTGGAGTGAGGGGCCCCTTTTGAAGCAGTTTAATTGCTGACTAACCTCCTCCCATCTAAATTGTAATTGTAATACTTAGAATATAAAAGTGATGAACATTTGACTTTAATAATGTTCCTAATGAAATGGATATTTACTTACAGATAGGAGCAGAAGTTGGTAATTCAGCTTGTCAAGTTTACACTGCTATTCAATTAGATAATAGCTGATCACCCTCAATGTCACTATCCCTTGATTCCATCAGACTCCAGAAATCTCTGCATTGTTCAATGAGTGAGCTTCATATTCCTATGGGATAGAGACTACCAAAGCCCTTTCATCCTCTAGGTGAAGACATTCTTCCTCACCTCAGTCTTGAATGGCCAAGCCCTTATTCTGAGATTTATGAGAGATGTCAGTGAAATGAGTGTCCATCTTTCTTACTGCAGAAATTGTTCATCCTTGTGCTTTCCCCTCCTGGCCACGTGGATGGTCTTTTTGCACTACATTTGCTGCAGCTGCACTCCACTCCTGGCTTGCACCAAACCTCTGTTTGGTGCCTAAGTGATCAGCAAGCACCTACATTTTTGCAGACCCCTGGAACGTCTCTACAGACCCCAGTTTTTAAGGAGTGCTGATGTAGAGAAAATGACAGCTGATTTGTGCACTGTAAACTGTTAGATTAGCGTGATTATCTGCTTTTAATGCTGATTGTTGAGCATTCTCCAGAACACACAGAGAACTGCCCTGCTCCTCCTTGAATAGCACCATTAGACTTCTTGTGGCTACCTGAAAAGTCTGACCAGATCTGTTTAAACTCTCCACTATGATATCTCGGACTGTGCAGCGCTCTTTCAATGTTGTATTGAAATGCTATTCTAGGTTTGAATGCTAAAGCTCCAGTGGGGTTTGGGACATAATCATTTGCCTCGGGAAAGAGTATTACCATTGAGCCAGAGCTGACTTGTTGAATTCTGCACCCAGTTCAATACATTTTCAGTGGATTTTTGTCTGTTATAAGGTACCTGGAAATGGATGCAACAGAATATCTCATTAAAGTGCTCTCAAGGTTTCGAATTGATGATTTCCCCAAGTTACTGAAATCCTGGGATTTCCTGTCTGCAAGTCAACTCCAGGAAGTAAACTTCAAGGAATATACACGAAAAGACCTAATTTTGGAGATAGCTGCACTCTGTGAGGTGATGTGCAATGTATATGTAATAATTTATGGGTGACTGAGTTTCCTTCTTATGGAACCCCTTAATAGTCTCTTAAAGAAACAATACCTTTTGGCAGCTAATCAATTTCAATTCTTGAGCTCCACCACATTTATGAATACTAAAATGTGCCATTTCTTTTCTAAGCAAACACTAATATGTTTTATGGTGACAATGTTGTATGTTGGAGAACAGAAAGAAATCGAATATATTTTTCAGTGGTTTTGAAAGTTTTTATAGCGGTACCAAATATTTTTTTAAAATTTATTCTAGGGCAATGGAGTAACCCTAAATCAAGTGGCAGATTTGGACATTATTTGTAAGTATTAATTTAATTTGCATTACTGTTTAGATCTGTCACATTTGTAACCAATTTACAATAGAACTTTTACTATCAAGTTAAACACTTCCATCCTGACCTTTTTCTTATTAAAACACTGGAATCTGCTATCTGTTTCCAGTTTATACAGCTGCTGCATGCCAATATTTTAATTTGCATTCTGCTTGAAGTGCTATCAAAAGAAATATTTATTATATTAACATTTAAATGCCAGGATGCTTAACTTGTGTTTTATTTTCTGAATTGTATACATGTACAGATAATTGTACATACCCTCAGAAGAAAAGATGGAATTCCTATCAAATGTTTAAGTCAAAAGGTGTGTAAATGATCTTTTAAAATTCCAGGCCAATTTCTTTGCGCACCATTTAGTAGCAGCTTTGCAATCAGCTGAGACATGTTGTTTCATCATTTCATATTTTATTTTACAGGTGGTGAGGAAGCAACTTTATTTGATTTTGGAGACTTCAAAAAAACATTTGAAAGAAACCTCAAAATGCTCATTAGAAATGTAAGTTGCGCTACTTGCCAAATCGCCTTTAGCTCCTATTCACTCAGCCAGGTCACTCATTTTGTTTTGCCTTTCCGAGTGCGGTGATAAGGTGCTGCAGACTGGATTTTCCAGGCAGTGAGCAAACCAGTCATTGTGTTCGTATATTGGTTCCAAGCCCACTCCTTTTGGCATATTCCCTCTCTTTCCATGAGGTGGCCTGCTCATTGTCTGCCTGCACCATCGCTGTACTATGAAGTAGAGAGAGTGGGTTCCCAATGCAGCAGGCCCAATTTGAGGTCCTGTAGTCTAACAACCCCATTGAGAGGGATGGGTGCTGCTGTGGCAGGCAGGCATACGTGTGTATAAATCAGAGGACTAAAGCTGCTGAGGACATCGGGTCCAAAGAGAAACTGCTGCACAGGCCTAACTGACGGGTCTGCAGCCTTTTATTCCTGTGGCCCCATCATGGTACATGGAGCCTTCAGCTTCTGCACATGGTAGGGACCTGCTACATAAATGAAATCCTCATCCAAAGTGGCCCTTAAGCAAGCACTTCATTGGACTATTCGGCTGCCTGTCTCAGCAGAATTGGTTCTTGGCTCACCACTAAATGCATAAATGTATCCCAAAGTGCTCCACCCATAGTTTCCCAGCACCGCATCCCTTTTATTTGTACCCACCGAACACTTTTCCATAGGACTGGAAAAATCCAGCCCTGTCACACTGCAACTTTTGTCTGAATTTGTCAGTTATATGTGAATGGTTAAAACTGTCTCCTGTGAGTCAGAAGGTTGGGGTTCAGGTTCCAGTTGAGGTGACTTAAAAGCACAGGATGATGTTACAAAAGTGTACATTCAGGGGTCTGTTTTTTTTCAATGAGAGATTTTAAGAAACAGAGCAGTGGGGAAATCAAAAGATTGTATTTGGTTATGGACTCCCTTTAAAGTTTGTGTGTTTTTTTGTGCTAGATCTTGTGTACTACAAATTGTGACAACAACACAGAAAGCTTTGAATTTTGATCTGCAGTTCTTGTAGTCTTCCTATATTTCCTTCTAACCAGGTTTGATGAAGAAACTGGGACTACCCTATACATGGGTACTTGAGTCCTGTCTCATGGAAATTTTCATTAGAGTGCTTGGCTGTGGTGATGATTCTTTTCCATTTAATGATGTACATTAAACTATTAAATCAAATTTCTGTATAAAAGATCAGTACTAAATATTGGGGAGCAGTATGTCATATTTTGCAAACAAATTGAGAAAGTGTTGTGCTTAACTGTAAATGCATAAATTCCTGTGAAGCTGATTGAGAATCTCAAAGTCACATGCAGGTTTCGGCTAGTTCACCAATGCAAATACTTAGCCCACTGCTATTTATGATATTTGTAAGGCTGTGAGCCAAAGAGCAGAGGAGTGGAACCAGTTGCATAGTTTTTGAGAGCTGGCATAGGCATACTGAACTAAATAGCTGCCTCCTGCACTTGCAACAGTGACCATGCATCAAAGTGTGATTTATTTTTTTTTACTTCTTCTCTTTTTGAGACACTTTGCATTTGTATTTGAGCTGTTATATAGTCAAATTCAGCATTTGTTATCTACCAGTAATGTTCCCACAAACTGCAAAAAAGCTGAATGAACAAACATTTTAATCAAGTAATCGTGTTAACTGTGTGATTTTGTGTTTTTTGTTTGAAGTTGAATGCCACTGGTTCTATTTCAATTGTGTTATCGAGGATTAAGAAGACATTTACCTGGACATAATTACATGGAAGTTTCTAGATTTTGTTAAATTCTAAACTGGGTTTCAACCACATATTTCGACTGAGATGAGCAGTCTCAACTGAACCAAGCCACTGATTGATAATATGATAACGTTAAAACTGGTGTTCAGTGGTCGAGGTGCAGAAGTATTAGAAATTGTAAAATTATAAAGATAAAACATTGAGGCACAAAGCAGGTTGGTCAGCATATAAAAGAAAACCTGGAGTTCATTAAAGCTTTGTCAGATTCAGTGTCTAATTCCAGCATTTCCTTCTTAAATCTGCTAACTGGATTATCAAACTTCTGTCTACTGTTCTGGATTGTTTGCAGATGACCTGAGTAACCTAAGACGGTGGAACAAGTGGCTGATTTGGGCGAAGTTATAAGAGTTGTTAAACCATCACTTTACTTTTGCCATCTGTCTACTTTCGTGTTGTTTAATTCCAGCAAGTTAATGGTTCATATCCATTTTCAATTAAATCATGCTATCTGACTTTCTGTGGATTGTTGTGTTTTTAAAAGAATTATAGTAATGTTTAGATGGTTTTATGACTGGTTGTAATTTCAGATCCCAATTTAACTTTCTTCCATAGGTCATGGTCAACGTTTTGGAGCATGGGGAAGCAGTTTGGATCCGAATTGCATGGGGCAAACACCACTCCCCACCTAACCAGCAACGGGCTGCTTATGCAGTGTACTACCCACAGACCCCTTATGTTTTCATGGCTAATATTGTTGCGCAGTACAGAGTGTATCTTTCTCAGGTAAAACAGCTCCACTTGGATATTACTGAAAATTTGGATTATGTAGCATTGAAGACCTGTGTTTCCATTTCTCCCTCCTCAAAATAATATTTAAAAACTTCTTGTACTATATTGTGTTTTAGTACATGCCTTCAGATATATCCAGTTGTAAACCAAGCAATCTAATCTTCTAGTTCATTAGCATATCTCTCAAAAATGTACAAAAGCAAAATACTGAAGATGCTGGGTTTTTGAAATTAAATACAAAATGCTGGGCATACTCAGCAGGTTAGGAAACATCTGGGGAGGAAGGAGCACTAATGTTTCCAAGTCTTTCATCAGAAACCCAAAAAACAAGTTGAATTGAAAGTACAGCCTTTCTCAAATTTATGGACTGACTCTGGATATTTGGTCCCCTCGTTAGGTGGAATTAGAATCAGAGAATCCCTACAGTGTGGAAACAGGCCCTTCAGCCCAACAAGTCCACACGGACCCTTGGAGCATCCCTTTATAATCCACCTAATCTACACACCCCTAAACACTATGGGCAATTTAGCATGAGCAATCCACCTAGCCTGCACATCTTTGGACTGTGGGCGGAAACCAGAGCACCCAGAGGAAACCCACGCAGACATGGGGAGAACGTGCAAACTCCACACAGGCAGTCACCCGACGGTTCAATTCCACCCTGGTCCCTGGCGCTGTGAGGTTGCAGTGCTAACCACAGAGCCACCGTGCCGTCGGTATGAGATCGGCGAGCTGTCACTGCTGGGATCGTAGGCTAATATTCTGATGGACATTTGAAAGGAATATGGCGTTGTTAGTGCATAAAACGTTAATTGGCATGTTGTTTTTGTTGCATGCCATGAAAATGTGCACTCGCTGTGGACTTTGAAAGGGCCCAAGGCCTTTTGATTAAAAATCTCTTGGCTATGAATTTTTAGGGGTTTTTATTTTTGCAGTTGAGGCAGCTCTAGCATTTTAGAAATTAAAAAATAAATATAATCTTTTAAAGCTACTGAACTCTGATCATCTTACCACGTAAATTCGGCATGAATTTGGCTGGACTGCATGAACAGTTTGAGTTTGTCACCCCTTGCTTAGAATTAGGTGCATATTACTAGAAGTTTCAAGTACTAATCCTTTCCTAATTTGACTTTTGTTTTTCAGGCACTTGTTGTTGCTACAGACCATAACATGCTCAAAGAATTAGATCTACAAGGACATTGTTTGGACTCCCTCCGAGACATTACTCTTAAAAGATTTAATCCGGTAATAAGAAGCATTCTTTTCTCCCCTAAAATATTTGCTGCAATCTAGATTTGAGTTCTTGACACTGAGCTGGATTGATTTCTTGGAAAACTTTTCCCCCCACCCCGTCCCCAATTCTCAGGTGTGAATCAAGTATTGCCAAGGTACTCATAGATTGTGCCTGTTTTGTTTTGTTTTGTTTTGTTTTGATTTCCTCTTGAGTGATAGTAGTTTCCAAGACTGAAAAGATTTCGGGCATCAGAACTACTGTTTGGCAGACCCATTGTCTACATAAGATACTGCCTGTGTTCTTTACTCTCCGAATGAATAGAGTCTTAATGACATTTTGTTTGTCTTCTCCACTCATCAATAAGTCCTGGGTTATCCAACCCACTTCTTGAGAGATCCATCTCTGGCTTTAAAGAGTTATTTTCAATACATAGCTCATTGGATAAAGCTTTCTTGTCGCCTCTGCCATCAAGGATTTGTTGTTAGTGCTTTTCTTTTTATGGGAACCTTAGGA